CTTTGAAAATCTGATGAAAACGATGAACACCTATAATTCAGACACATACAGAATTGTTTTAAATAACCTTTTTTTATTTCGTAAGTTTTGGATTTATAGAAAAGTTGCAAAGATAGTTCCCATATAATAGCACCCAGTTTCTCCTATTGTTAATATCATACATTACTACAGCATATTTTTCACAACTAGTGAGCCAACACTGGTATATTACTATTAACTAAACTTCATACTTTATTTGGATTTCATTAATTTTTCCTTAATGTCCTTTTCTGTTTCAAGATCCCATCCAGGATACTCCATTACATTTTTTCATCATGCCTCCTTAGCTTCCTCTGGTCCGTGACAGTTTCTCAGACTTTCCTTGTTTTCCGATGTCCCTTGACAGCTTTGAGGGTACTGGTCAAGTATTTTGTAGAATTCTCCTCAGTTTGGGTTTGTCTGATGTTTTCTCATGGTTACCAGTACCACCAGTAGCCCTCAAGTTGATTCCAATACATGATAACCCCACCTGTTGCAGAGGAGACCTGCTCCGTAGGGTTTTTCATGGTTCAACTAGAGTTTATGGGTTTTAGGAAGGAAGGTCACAGAGGTGAAGGTCAGTCTCATCACATCATATCAAGGGTACATGCTATCAACAAGACTTATCACTGACGATGTTAACTTCTATCACCTGGCCGAGGTGGTGTTTTCCAGGTTTTTCCACAGTAAATGTTACCTTTATTTCCCCTTTCCACACTCCACTCGTCAGAATCAAATCACTAAGTCCAGCCTACATTCAAGAGATGGGGAGTTAAGCACTATATTTCTTGCTTTTTTGCTCAAATTGTTCCAGCTTTGGTCATTGGAAGTTCTTTCAAAGGTTAGCTCCTGTGACCCTATGACATGCCCCCATTGTTTTGTGTTTTGTTGTTGTTTGTTTTTGTTTTGTCTTGTTTTGGAGCATTTCCTTATTTTTTGGCACAAGAAGCTCCAAGCTAATCTTGTATATTTTCTGCTCCAGCCCTACAATCGGCCATTTCTCCAAGAAACTCTGGCCTTTTTTACTGGAGAATGGTATTAGAAACCAAGATCTGGGTGCTAGATGTATGATGCGCTTAACAGATTTTTTAATCTATTTCAAGGAGGTTTACCAATCTCTAACACAATGTTGTCCAACACAAATATAATGTAAGGCACATGTGCGAGCCATATATGTAATTTTAAATCTTCTAATAGCCACGTTTTAAAAAAGATAAAATTGTAATATTTTATTTAACCAAATATATCCTAAATATTATCGTGCAACATGTAATCAATGTAAAAAATTGCCAAAGAGATATTTTACATTGTTTTCTCATACTAAGTTTTCAAAAGCCAGTGTGTAATTTACATTGAAAGCACACCTTAATTTAGACTAGCCACATTTCTAGGGCTCGATAACCTTCCATCACAGTCAACAGACTTAGTCTATAACGTGTCTTATAACAACTCCTTTCTCTGAAACTATACTAGAGAGTGAATTAATACATGCATTACTAAAATTACTCAACTATTTCATTCTGTTGCTGTTCTTAAATACTTTAGTTTCCTTTCAGACAGAAAAGTAAAAATGAAAGGAAACTTAATTTAAAAAAAAAAGAAAAGACAAGAACAGGACGGGAACTTTCTAAATCTTAGTGGGTTAAAACACACACTCAGATATTCTGCCGGAGGATCTTCTTACTTGACCTCAAGTAGCTCATCACACCCTTATGCAAAAATTCAGAAGCTTTATTTTCACAAACTTTTTTCTAAGACAAATACGAACGCTACCAATCTACTAAAACAGCATTTGGATCAAATTCTAATATATCACTTAAATCAACTATCCAAGTACATTTAATCTATTTTGAAAAACAGTAACAGTCATAAAAAAGGACAAATGTCTGAAATCATATCATATAGGAGACATAATTTTTAATTTTTGGATTATTTCAACTGTGTTTTTCTCGTATGTAAAAAGTTTAGTGGGAAATGCACCAAATGCTCTCATAATGATAATTTCCTGGTTTTGACACTTTATCATGCTCATCAAATCCAAGAGAAATGTTGCATTCCCACTACGTAAACTGGCTTCTCATTCTTGCCTAGTTTCCTTCTCAAGGCTACCTCTTTCAGGAAACCTTTCCCTTCCAAGGCACAACTGGTCTCTATTCACCTAATACAACAGAGGAGAAGGAGAGTCAGGAAAGGGAGGAAGTGATCGTTAAGGTCATGTGTCAACTTGGCTGGGCCATGATTCTCAGCTGTTCTGCCAGTTATGATGTAGTTTGGCAGTCGTATGATGATGTGTTCACTTCCATGATGAGATCTGATATAATGTGATCATCTCCATGATGGGATCTGCTGTGAGTAGCCAATCAGTTGAAAGGGAGCTTCCATGGGGGTGTTGCCTGCATCGAATATAAGTGGACTTTCTGGCAAGGCTTGTGGGCTTTTGCTTGCTCTGGATTCTGCAGCTGGCTCCTATTCAGTCTTACCTCCGGTTCCCAGGACTTGAGCTAGCAGCTTACCTGCCATCTTGCCTATTGATCTTGGGATTCGTTGGTCTTTGCAGTCTGTGAGCAAGAGCCCTGCTGTCTGACCTGCCGATCTTGGGTTTGCCAGTCCCTGTGGCTACATGAATCAGGAGAAGTCTCCAGCCTGACCCACGGACTGGGGATGTTCCAGCTTCTATAACCACATGACCCATTTTCTCTATATGTATGTTTATAAACTTTACTGGTTTTGCTTCTCTAGAGAATCCAGCCTAAGACAGAGGAGATATGGAATGTGTGGTTAACTGCCTCCGTGAACAACTGCCTCCTTTGCCAAGAGACCAGAAGAACTGGGTGGTGCCCAACTACATTTTGTTCAAAGATTCCATAAAAGAATCCTGATCAAAAGTGGGAAAATGGAGACCAGTAATTTCAAATTCTCATAAACATCAGACTTCATAGAGCCATGAAAGTTGGATAAACCCCTGAAACTACTGCCCTGAGATAATCTTTAAACCTTAAACCGAAAATATCCCCTGAAGTCTTCTTAAAGCCAAACAACAGTTTAGCTTAACTAGTAAAAAAGAAGTATGCCTTAAGCATTACGCTCTTTTAAGAACTATATAATATCAAACTGTCAACAGCAACTGGAAAGATTAGACAGGAACCTTAGGGGGCAGTGAATTTATATTATTGGGGAAGGAAATACTCAGAAAAGGAGGGTGAGAATGGTTACACAACTTAAAGAATGTAATCAATATCACTAAATGATACAAATAGAAACTGTTGAATTGATGTTGTTTTGCTGTGTATATTCTGAACAACGACAAAATAAATAAAATTATATATTAAAAAAAAGAAAAGAAAACCTTTCCTTGACTGTAAAACCTCAACATTTAGGATGATAATTTATATTTTTATGTGTTATTTGTCCTGGATATACCTTCTTTGTATAATTTTTTAAATCCAAATTAGGTAAGAAACTTTTTAAATACCAGGACTGTATCTTCTATTTCTTAAGCATCTATCTCAAAAGACAGCAACAGCAAAATGGAAAAGGCAGAACTTTACAGATCAGTAAACCTTCTGCCACTTAATAACTGGATGACTTATGTCTTAGATTCCTCACCAGTAAAATGGAAATCTAAAACACCTATTTTGAAGGTGATTGTGAGAATTCAGTAAGTACAGCACATGACACAAAGTAGACTTGATAAAGAATACTATTACTACTAAACCTGAAACCTGCTGCCGTGGAGTCAATTCCGACTCATAGCGACCCTACAGGACAGAGCAGAACTGCCCCAAAGGGTTTCCAAGGAGCGGCTGGTGGATTCAAACTGCCAAGCTTTTGGTTAGCAGCCAAACTCTTAACCACTGTGCCACCAGGGTTTCCACTATTACTACTACTAAGGGTAATCTAAAGCACCTACTGTAAAAAGCCTAAACAGATCTCTTTCTGGTAAAGTCTTCCAAAAAACAATACAAAAACCTCTATTCACTCTATGCCAGCAAAAGCAAACTTTTAAAAAGGTTCGTTTCCATCTCCACCACCCTGAAATCATATTATAGTGAAATAAAAAATAGCCACTCTTCTTCTTCTCCTTTTAACAAATTACTACCAATCTGCAATCTCATATATTCATAGTGCTAATTTACTACAAGGTTGAACCACATGAAACTGCCATTTTTTATAGGTCAAAACTGGTCAACCTACAGGCTATTTCGCATGGTTCAACATGTAATTTACATGCTCAGTGAACACTTCAGTAACTGGGTTTCAGTATCTCATCAGGAGCTTCATGGTCATTTTTTAATTACTACTGATATCCCTTCCTGTTTAAAAAAAAAAAAAAAAAAAAAACTTACCATGCTAAATTCTAAATAAAACACTAACAGCTTGTTTTACATAATTTGAAACAATCAACAGAAAAGAAATCGTAATTGAAATAAAATTCTGATTTAATTTCAATTTAAACATTTTAAATTAATCCAATTAAGAATAGTCTTACTCTAACGAGGTACAGGAGTCCAGTGACAAGGGCCAGAAGGCAGAAGGGGACAAGAAAGCTGGTGATAGGGAACCCAAGGTTGAATAAGCATAATGTTGTGTTGTGAGATTGTTAACCATTGTCATAGGGCAACATTTGTAGTAATTGTCAAATGAGAAACTATTTTGTTCTATAAGCCTTCATCTTAAGTGAGAATAACAGCACAATTGGAAGAGCGCAGTCAATGTCACTGAACTGTGTATGTAGAAATTTTTGAAACGGTGTATCTTTGGCTATGTGTATTTTCACCAAAAAAAAAAAAAAAAAGGTTGAGAATTTAGAGGGTTAATATGTTGTGGGGTTGTTAACCAATGTCATAAAACAACATGTGTACTACTGTTTCATGAGAAACTATTTGTTCTGTAAGCCTTCACCTGAAGTACAATAAAATATAAAAATAAATAAATAAATAAAATTAGAATGCATTTTACAATCAAGAAAAGAAGAGTCTTACTGTTCTAGAATCCGAGAATGGATTGTATTCATCAAGTCCTGGTGGAACATTTCTTGTCACCTGTGTAACTGATGGGTCCTGGAATAAAATTTGAAGGAGAAAAAAAGATTACTTATCCATTAAGAAGTAATTTTGATATTTATATAGCATGTGCTTTATCTGTACTTTTGGTTGCTCAGAAAAGCTAACAGAGGAAAATAAAAGAGGATGACTATCAGGAGCTTTACTCAGTCCCGTTCCAACAAAGCCGAAATTTAAACCCACAATCCTCACAGCCTCAAAGAAAAACTAGGTTAGATGCAAATCAGCTGCTAGCTATTAAACAAGGATTCAAAGTAGACCACCTCTTAATAGCTGTGTGAAACTGATAGCACAAGAGCATCTTCACAAATCCTGAGTAAGCCCACCATCCATCCTTTCCTCTGGGCTCCACAGAGTTCACGCTCCTCTTTTTTATAGTATTTCAGCCAGTTTTCCTTGCTGCAGATTTAAATATCATATTGCAAATCAATGTCATAATGGCCGACATCTATAGCATTCAGAATTAAATATCTTTTACTTTTTAAAAAAAAAAATTCTACTCAAATATCTCTACTTGACAGTAGTGTCTTTTTTCCACGATTCTGGACAGTCTCCCCTTTTCCAAGTATAATATATTATCACTCTATCCTGGCTTTTCAAATCTTTTAGTATTAGGCTTTCCTATAAATAACTAGTAAACCCTGGTGGCATAGTGGTTCAGAGCTACGGCTGCTAACCAAAAAGGGCAGCAGTTCAAATCCACCAGGCACTCCCTGGAAACTCTATGGGGCAGTTCTACTCTGTCCTATAGGGTTGCTGAGTCGGAATCGACTCAACAGCAACTGGTTTTAAAAATAACTAAAATCACAAAATCCTAGATACTTATTCTACTTCTCTTGATTGTGACTGTAAAACACAAATACAATGAACAAAATCAACCACATATTGATGTGAAAAGCATTTTGCAAACTATGATGTAGCCTATTTGGCCCTCCATCTCTAGTTCACTGGGTCTAAACCTTTAGCATGCATCAGAATCAAATGAAAGGCTTATTAAAACACAAACTGCTGTGCCCTACCCCAGAGTTCCTGATTCAGTAGGGCTGGAGTGGGGCCAAAGAATCTGTATTTCTAACAAGTTTCCAGGGGATTCTGCTGCTGGTACAGGGACCACTGCCCTAGTCTATATTGTACCTTCTTCAAACTATCTTCTTCAACACAATCACCAAAAGTACCTTTCAAAAATGCAAAGCTAATTTGTCATTCCCCTCCTCCAACCCTCTCCATTTCAGACCATTTAGAGCTCTCCACTAACTATAAGATAAAATATAAACTCCTCAAAATGAGATATAAGGATTCTGACTATCTTGTCCCTGTCTACCTTTCCAGCCTCATCAACCTTCTCATAATCACCCCACCCTGCCAGGTCCTTCTCCCTTAACCAAATGAAACATGCTATTGCAAAAGAAGCCTTGAACTTGGCAAAACACAAGTAGCAAGGATAAATAAAAAGTACAGCACAGACAAAAAATAAAGGCTTTAGGCTTGCTCCATAATAAAATGGGCAGGAAAGGAAACGTGAAATAAAGTAAGAGACCTACAGTGCCTAGAAAAGAAGGAAGGAATGAAACCACTGTACTCTCCAGGGTTTCCCTCCAAAGTTTACCCCAAAGTGGGAAGAGCAGGTAGATTATCAAAAAGGGATGTCTGCTTTAGGAAGAACATTAAGAAAATGGAAAAGTGAATGTTTTAAGCAAAATTTTCAACTTGGCATTGCTGGGGTCAACCTAATTAAGAAGTTTAGTGTCAGCAAGTGCAGACCTTTAGCTGCGGTCTCAATGCCTACTCTCACGACCAGCCACAAAACCAGATGATCTGTGATTCCTCAGACAACATTGTCTTTGCATTGCTTCCTCTAGCAGAATACTCATCCCAGCAAGGTCAGCCTAGCAATCTCCTTCTCTTCCTTAAAGACACAGTCCAAATATTACCTCAGATACTAAGCAATAATCTTCCTGATACCTTCCCTATCCAAGTCACTCCATCCCTAGAACCAATCCTCCCACAGCAATTATTATTTATCTCCATTAGCATTTATTTCACTGAACCATAATGATCTGCATACAAGCCTTTTTTCCCAAATTAGATTGTGATCTCTTCGAATACAAGAAGGTCTTTTTTTTTTTTTCAATCATACATGCCTAGTGATATTTGGTAACTGCTTTTTGGATCTACATGATAAAGTAGTAGCATGCAGCTGAGGATTGTTAAATGGTATAAGAAAAGTCTATGCACTGCTATGAAGTGGGTGAAAAATGATACAGAACAGTGTAATAAGACGTTACCTCTTATGCAAGAAGGAAGATAAAAATAAACGTACATGTGTGTATTTATATTTTTAAAAAGGAAGAACCAAGAATTAATAAGAATGTTTACCTAAGGGGAAGGAATTAACCCTGATGGTACAGTAGTTAAAGGGCTCAGCTGCTAACCGAAAGGCCAGCAGTTCAAATTCACCAACGGCTCCTCAGGAGAAAGATGTGGCAGTCTGCTTCCGTAAAGATGACAGCCTTGGAAACCCTATGGGGCAGTTCTACCCTGTCCTATGAGGTCACTATGAGTCGGAATCGACTCCATGGCAGTATTTTGGTTTTACAGGGAAAGGAAGGGAACAGTGAAAAGAGAGGACAGTCTTAAATGCTAGATTTCTCTGAATGTATCTTGTTTTACAGTTTTTGGAATCATGAAAATGTTTTACATAACTATAAAACAAAGTTAATTGAAAAAGGAGGGGATGCAAAATGTATTTGCTTAGCCAATATCCTTGCTACCAAAGCCATCCTCTGAATGCTACAGTAGTACAATGAGCCCCAACTCTCATTTTACAAATTCATATAGCCAATTACCTCAAATGTCCTGAAATTCATCTTAAATGCTTTAAAAAAAAAAAAAAAAAAAAAAAGGTATAGCTTAGTTCTCAAGAGACCCAGACTGAAATCATTCTTCCAATTCTCTACTTTCGACTACAATAACTAAAATGCACTTGTTTCCTTGAGATTTAAAAAAAAAAAAAGTTTATCCAGGCTGAAAGTTAACTGGTGGTTTGACAAAATCACTGCCTCAAATGAACTGACTTCACTTCTAGTCAATCCAGAATCTCTCTTAATGTAGTATTATATGACAAAGCAGTACTGTATGTACAGGATATGCCAAGAATGAGACTGGATTTGAGGAAGGTAAAGAACTGATATCTCTAAGTTATCACATAATTAAAGTTTCAAGTTAGTTTTAATAAATGTGAGAAAGCTACAGCCTCTAAACTGGGAGAAGATAACAAGGCTGAACAAGATTTAAATAATAATAAATTATCTCTTGATGCCTATTAGGTATCCATCACTTACTCATGCAATGATCCTTCCTGGTAGATGGTATTGTTCCATTTTTCAGAAACAGAAGCTATGGGCTTAAAAAAGTCAAGAAACTTACTCAAAGTCAATTATTATATGTAAAGCCAGGACTTTACATGTCTACGTATACTCTTTCCACCAGATACCCTGGTGGTGCAGTGGTTAAAGTGATTGACTGCTAATCATAAGGCCAGCGGTTCAAAACCACCAGTGGCTTCGTGGGAGAAAGATGTGGCAGTCTGCTTCCATAGAGATTCACAACCTTGGAAACTCTAAGGAGTCACTATGAGTTGAAATTGACTCGATGGCAGTTGGATTTTTGGTTATACTAAAAACAGAGTTCACCAAAATCACAATTTTGCAAAAGACATTGGCTGAGCTGTTTACTGATGACTCCGAAACTTTGGTTTGTTTCCTCTTAAACACAATCAAAATGAAATTGCCTCAAACTGATAACTTTGTTTCTTCTATGGCAGTGGTTCTCAAATTTCAGCATGCATTGGAAACCTGGAGGGCTTGTTAAAACCCAGATTGCTGAGCCCCAGCCTCAGAGTTTCTGATTCAGCAGGTCTTGGAGGATGCCTGAGAATTTGCATTTCTAACAAGGCTAAGATTCGGGGATAGTCTTATTTTACTGACTCCGGAGGAATATACTACACTCTGTATCTTATTAACTTTCAGGTAGAAAGTAAAGACATTCCTTAGAGTTTAATTTAAATATTCTATGTGGATCTGACTAAGCACAGACATTAAACAGTTACATCTTTATTCATTTAGTTAAGGCAAGACTATTCCGCTAACTCTTTAGTAATGGCACTTAATAATCTTATATTTCATTAAAAGCAAGATGCATTATGAAACAAATGTTTTTTCAAAGAAGAGAACTAAGTTCATTCTGCAGGGTTGTATACTGTCATTGTATTTCAACTGATGCATTAAATTGGACATTTCTCAACCAGACATTTTTCAATGGCTGCCACATATAACATCATAGGAAGATTCCAACCTGGCAGAGAGTAATTTCACCTTTAGCTGTATCATTACTGTAGAAGTGAGGAGGTTTATTCAACAAACAATTAAGGTCTTTCTTCCAAGGCACCTCTGGGTAGACTCTAATCTCCAACCGTTCAGTTAGCAGCCCAGCACTCCTTTGCACCTTCCAGGGACTCCTGGAATACCACTGATGTTGTTGTTAGTTGTCCTTGAGTCAATTCACGTCAACTCACAGCGACTCCATGCGTGCTACAGTGGAACGGCTTCATAAGGTTTTCAAAGCTGTGGCCTTTTGGATGCAGATGGCCAAACCTGTTTTCTGAGGCTTCTCTGGGTGGGTTCAAACTGCCAACCACTAGTGCTTAATCATTTGCACCACTCAGAGATTCCTGGAACAGCATTAACTTGTTGTAAATTGGAAACCCTGGTGGCATAGTGGTTAAGTGTTACAGCTACTAGCCAAAGGGTAGGCAGTTCAAATCCACCAGGCGCTCCTTGGAAACTCTATGGAGCAGTTCCACTCTGTCCTACAGAGTTGCTATGAGTCGGAATCGAGTCGATGGCAATGGGTTTTTGGTTGTTGTAAATTAACTTGTCAATGCTATTCTAACTGGTGAGGAAGGACTTCGTGGTACAGTAATCTTCATAACACCCTGC